CTTCGGGAAAAGGTGCGTGTAAAAAAAAAAAATTCCAGGCTACCGTCGTGCATAAGATTGATTTCCTTTGGGTGTGCAGAGTGTTCGGTTCATATTGGACAGGGGTTTTCGGGAGCCAAGGTGGCGTGGCGAACAGCTTGTCGGGTGGACCAACCGTAGCAAGACCCTCCAGTCATTCAAACCTCTCTATCGGGTTAAAGCGCTATATCCACTTCCGCATGTTCGGATGCTACTGGTAACAGCAAAGTTGCCCTGCTCAATCAGGTTCTGGCGAACCTTCCCTGGTCATGGTGCTCTTTCAGGTGGGTCGACGCAGCATAGCTCGGTCACAGTTCCCGGGGTTCTCGTGGGATGTTGCTCCTCTTCGATTTTCTTGCCACTTGTTGCAAGCGGACAGGCCCTGGTTCCGGGAGTTCGAGGCGACAACGGCGACAAAGTATTGCCGATTAAAAAGGCAGGACGCGCGGCACAATCAGCGGCATGCTGTGCGAGTTTGTCGTGCAGGTCGCTTTGTTGCTCCTCCGGGTGTTGCAGCGTCTGCTCAATGTGCCGGACAAGGCTAGCGGTGATATTGGGGTGATGCTCGAGCAAAGTTTCCGAAGACAGAAACAATGGCAGTGACACGTCCGAGGTCCTGTATCCTGCCACCAACGCAAGTTTTCAAGGCCAGTACTTCGTCGAGCGCGGTGTGTTTCTTCATCCCGATATCTTCCGATCCAGGACCACGTGTTTTCGATTTCCAAGCTTTTACAGCACTACATGCTCACCAGAGGCCACGGCAATCACGGCTGGTCGGTTGTTGTAGTTCTTACGGGGTGCCAAGGCAAATTCGGCAAAAGTATGCAGGCAGCTGCAACCTCAACACGTAATTGGTACATGTGATCTTAAGTTCTGAATGGTGTCTCGAGTCCGAGGCGGTTGCCCAGCAGCTGTCGAGGAGAGCCTTCTGCTGGCTCAGATGTGGGAGGCGAGAGATGGCGAGAGTTAAGAGCAGTGCGCAACAAGTCGGCTCGCTGCTTTGCCATCATCTGAAGGACGAGTTTCTTCTGACCTACACGCAAGGGCCTTGTGGACGAATCAAAGCGGCTGTCATGCCGTCGTTGTGTACTTGCGAGATGGTAAGGTTTCACCCTTCAGAGCTGGAGTACTTGAAGACGTCCGAGTCTTTGCGGGCTGCGTGCCGTCGGTACGAGGACTGAGCTGAGATGAGATGTCCACCGCTCTTCCTTCGTTTGCGTTCGCTTTGGGGCAGGAGCTGCAAAGACTGACAGGCGCCAGGCCGAGTGGAGACGCGCACGCTTGCTAGACACAGCGAATGCTGCATGGAGATGGATGGCATCCCGGAAGCTGAGAAGATGTGTCTTCTTGCTTTGGTGCAGGCCCAGCAGGGCGCAGCAAGAGAAGATGTCAGATTTGGAACGCGGGTGGGCGCCTTTTTCTCGGAGAGGGCTTCAGTAGGCAGCCACGAAATTTCAGAGGCAGTGCAGCCCGGTGCGCAGCGAGGCAGGTAGAGTTGCTTTGCGGTGATTGCTTTGTGCACCTCATCCCGATCAATCGCGTGCATGCTTGATGCGAAACAACTTTGTGCTTACTGTGATTCAGCCTTGTGAGCATTGGATGCTACATAGCCGTTTCGCGCAGTCGTGTGCCAGGGCACTTTCCAAGTTCACCGGGAAAGTCGAGACGGTCGGGGGCATCACGAACGCTTAGGAAGTGCTGCGATTTGCTCGGCTACTTATTGTTGATCAGGGCCAAGAGTTAGGCATGATGATGAAAGCTTGATTGCATGCTCGTAGTCAATGCTGGTTTGTGTTGTTTATTTGACTGGTGCCAGAAGCGAGCAGCACTTCCTCCCCAAGAACTGCGAGCCATCCCGTCATGTTTGGAGATCGGAGTTTGAAGGTGGCGCTGTGGCGGCAACTTGCAGTCAGGTCCGGCGAGGTTCATCGCAAAGATCCGCAGATCCTTGAGGGCTCCAGGCATCGCTTTTAGCTCCGGCTGCCATGGCGCTCTTCGTCCCCGCTCGGCGCCCTTCCGCACTCGCGGCCGCTCTCGCGATGGCGGCAGTTTTCGGCCTTTACGCGCAGGCCAGGGCCCAGGGACAGCCGAAGCGAAGGCCAAGGAGAAGGCTTTGGAAGTTTTTCCAGGCGCAAAATGCCCAGGTGAGCTCCGCTTCAGATTTCGTGACCGGCCTTCCGGCCGTGCGAGCACGAAAGCCAGTGGTGAGCATGCAAACGAAGGCCGCCCTTGCGTGCGCCTCCATGTAGCAAGCGTCTCATGGCATGCGTGCATAACCCCGAACATCTTCAAATCATACAGGTTTTGAAGATGTGGTGCTTGCAGTTTCTGAACTGCAGGTGGACGACATTGTAGAAGAGCTCAAGGGCTTGACGCTACTTGAGGCCTCAGAGTTGGTGAAAGCCATCGAGGAGAGCAAAAAGACATCCCTGATACATGTGAAAGCTACATGCCAGGCTTTGCTTCCCGGTATTTGTGAACATGGTGATGTGAGGAGACTTTCGGCGTGGACGCTTCTGCTTCGGCAGGGGCAGTTGTCATGGCGGCCCCTGGCGCAGGTGGCGGAGAAGCTGCTGAGGCACGGCTTGATTCCGTCTGGATTCTGTGTTGGCTGTCTGCTGCCCGTCTGGGCCACGTCTACAGGCGGCAGAAGAAAAAACAGAGTTTGATGTGGTCCTAAAGGAGGTGCCGAAGGACGGGCGGCTACTGTAGGGTCGGTTCCCCCGCAACGCGGAACTTGCCTCCTCCGGGTGCTGGGTTGTCAGTGAATGAGCCCAACGAACTGCACGAAGGCATTGCAGCTTTGGGTTCCGATGTAACTTGGATGGCTTAGAATCGGGACTCATGTCCTCGCACATAACATTCCTCAATCGTGTCAGAAGTTCCATTAAAGTTCCGCTCGACAGTTGTGCCGCTCGGCCAGAGGGCCCTCGCCACTGGTCAAGAGGGTCGGTGCAGGCATGACTGCAGCAAACGACACCGGAGTCTAGCCTGACTACGTCAGGGCTTCAAAGGCTTACTGCATGCGGTCTAAGGCTACGGGCTTCGTCGCTGTTGCACGCATGTTAGGAGAAGAAGATCGCCATCATCAAGGCCCTGAGAGCCATCACTGGCCTCGGCTTGAAGGCTTGGCTCCAGAAGCAGATATATAAGCAAAGCTTTCAGAAGACATTCTAATTACAAGTGGTGCCAGGACGCCAAGGGCTTGGCTGACAACCCTGGCAAGTTCATCGAGGGAAAGCCGAAGGAGTTCTGCGAAGATGCCGTGCCTTGCTTTGGTACATGAAATGTCGGCCTTCATGGCTGGAAGCGGGTTTGCCGCTGTCGGACGTGGAGAGCTAAGGTGAAGCAGCTGGAGGAAGCTGGTGCCAAAGCAACAATTGAGTGAGCCAGCGCTTTGAAAGGTCCAAAGCAATCGAAGTCGCACAAGTTTACGGATGATCGGCCATGCAGCATCACTCTGCCTGCCTGTAGGATGGGGTAAGCTTGGTTAGTGGTGCCCTGCCGCAGCAAAACGACAGTGCATTTCTGGAACTTGTGGGACTTCGCAGAAGTCCTTACATCAGAGACCAGCTTATCTTCGGGCCAACAGGTAGTCCACTGACGTTCACCGCCAAAACGTCACTGTGTTCGCTCCGTCTCGCTTAGTATCACAAAGTTCGGCCCGGTTCCAGGTCTTGATGCTGACAAGATGCAGCATTTGAGAGGACGTGCCTGCAGACCTGCTCCAAAAAGTTGCTTCTGACTTCGTGTGTGCACCGGAGCAACATCCCTGTGCTTCCGAGAGGGTTGCTTCCCGTCATGTCCAGGCTCGCCAAGCTCAGCACGTTCTTCATCTGTGGCTACAGAGGCCTTTCCTTTCTGCCGTTTGTTTGGTTTCGGTTCTCCGGTTCAG